CATGAGGATGTGACTAGCAGTTTGAAAGTATGTACTTGAATTATTATTATATATTATCATTATGTCAGTGGTCTAAAATGGTCATACAACGGTGCCGACAATATTATCGTTTATCGCAATAATTTCCGGGAAAATGTATCCAACAAAATTAATTATCGTGAGAGGCCTATACATGAAACACACACACAAACAAATCTACAGACTTACTCCAAACTGCCAAATATATTAATTAACACACTCTCACTCTCATATACTCTTTGACTCTATTTTGGCCTAGTAGAACAATAAGCAGCAGACTTTTACTTTTTGATCATTTCTACTGGATCTTAGATCTGCGCATGCGCAATACGGGTCGGGGATTGACCAACTGGCTCCCACTGCTCTGCTGTCTGTTAACATTGTTAAGAGTGGTGGGGGCGGGGAGGGAGCGGATCGACAGCTTGAGCAACTGTCAACTCAACATTGTAAATAACCAACCAAAAACGATCACCGGTTCATCTTGTTTTTGGCGTGAGAATAGTTTGGGCAGCGTGAGAGCGTGAGATTGAGAGTGAAAGCGTGTGTCACACGCCAGATGCGTGAGAGTTGGCAACCCTGATATATTATTCTGAAATGGACCAATCTGCACAATGAATACTTTTACTGTCGCTACTTTAACTATATTTTGATGATAATACTTTTCTACTTTTAATTGAGGAACATTTTGAATGCAGGACTTTTACTGGAACGGAGTATTCCTACACTCTGGTACTTCTACTTTTACTCAAGTACAAGATCTGAGTACTTCTACTTTTACTCAAGTACAAGACCTGAGTACTTCTACTTTTACTCAAGTACAAGACCTGAGTACTTCTACTTTTACTCAAGTACAAGATCTGAGTACTTCTACTTTTACTCAAGTACAAGATCTGAGTACTTCTACTTTTACTCAAGTACAAGATCTAGGTACTTCTACTTTGACGCAAGTACAAGATCTTAATATTGAGGAGAGCTAACAGGAAGTCTCTCATCAGCTGCAGCCTTCTTCTTTATTTTCCTAAATGCCTCCACGCTCCTCTTTACGTCTCAAACTCTAGAAATAAATGAACTGAGAACAAATCAAACCTGAGCTTGCAGATTTGTCTGGAATCCCAGAAAAACACTGAGCAATAACTACATTTTATTCTGTACTCAGTATGTATTCAGTGGTGAAACCTCAATAAATAAACTTCAGCTAGCAAAAATCTCGCCTAGGGCAGCAAATTGTCTAGAACCGGCCCTGAGAAGATGGATGCTGTGCAGCAAAGGCGAAGGAAGACAGCAGGTACGTTTGAAAGGGTCACACACAATTCATATTTATTGTCTTTTCTTTGGGAAGATATTCAGCATATATTTAGGATAAAGCAATAAATACAACAATTCACAGAATTCTTACCAAAATAATAATAGATGTACCTTTTTTTAATGATATTTGAGAGTATCTGGTACCATTGATGTTTTAACTGTTAAATTGTATTAATATTTTTTCCTATCATTTTGTGTTATTATTTATGTTTAGTAATTCCTATTAATTTTAAGCGAGTGGTTTTAGTTCATTATTAGTATTTAGGCTATATCTAATTTTGGAACCCAGGACTCTTTCTATTGCTCAATGTCTTATTTCAGACTGTAAAATGAAAGTAAACTTATCACAATGCATTAAATACTTAAATATAATATTTAATCAACAACTCAAAATCAGATCAATCCAATGTGTGCGTGTTATTACACGCACACATTTTTAACAACCATTTTCATTCTATACAGCCAGCTACAGTTAACTTTACCTTGTATTTTATGAAGTGTACATTGTTCATGTTCAAAGGCAAAATACCAATGGTTAGCTGTGGTAGCTATGCTAACACGCTAGCAACGGTTAGCCGAGGCTAATTTAGCATCGATCTTTACACTAAAAACACACATTTTAATCTCATGTGAAAGGGGTCTAAAAATGTTTTAGTAACCGGGGGTTACACTACACTCTGTAGCTTTTTTTTAATATTCTACATACTAAACTATGTCGATTTTTTTAATTATTCTACATAGTTTAGTATGTAGATTCTTTGAAATATTCGACACTATGCAGCTTTATGAAATATTCAACGTACTACACTTCTCTCTGTCTGCCGCTCACTCGTCTCTTCTTCTGTGTTCAGAATAGAAGCACCCCTGTCAGAATTGAAAATCCCTTCATCATTTATTGATTATAGGTCCAGGTCCGTACTGGTCGGTGTCTGTCGGCCATTTAGTGTTACCCGCACTATACTGTTTACAGTCATATAATGGCAAACGTTATGAAGAACATACATGTCAATAGGTCATGATGATTGTTTTTGTGAAACCTTGCATATACACACTCGTTGAACGACTCCGTTACAATTAGTAATCTTAAATTACAGTAAATAATATGAACGTTGGTTATTGTACATTTGTGCTAATATACCCTGATATACCTCAACCGATATCAGTAACAATAGTAATAGCTACGTTACAGTGGCTGTAGCGCTAACATCGGCACTGCTGCCCACTCATAGATTACAGTTAACCTCTTTTCATATAGATTTCTATCTTATTTAGTACTTGTAAAACACATCAGCGATGCTTTCTATTGCTTTCTCACATTGTGTATACAGTTATGCAGCAGAAGAAGCCACAATGACAACATGGCTGAGCGACGGATGTAAATAAAGGTTTGAGGACTGTTAAAGAGTCAAATAAAAACATTTAAGGTTGTTCCTTACTTTCATTAGGTATGTTGCGCTTTGCCGTGAGTGGCTCTGTCCAATGTCATCCTGCAACGTGATTGGCTTGTCATTACATTACATTTGACATTACACGTCATTTAGCTGACGCCTTTATCCAAAGCGACTTACAATAAGTGCAAAAGCCATAAAGATTCAAACTCTGAACAAAAAGGAAAGTGCAGATATATTCAGTTCAAACAAGATCATACCATAGTTGGTGCAGGTGTAGCAGGCCCCGCTATGCAGGGCGCGATAACAGATTATATTCCTGTAGAACAGGAGAAATTATGAGCAGAGAATGCCTTTTGCTGCTCGTTTGGCGGGTCTTGCCAGAATGTATTCACAATTGGCACAAAACAAAACACAATTGTTCTTGCCCTTTTCCTACTCTCAATATAAACACATGTTTATATGTTCATGTCTTCAAAATATACTTTTAACATGCTTGAAGTATTAAAAAATAAACACATTTGTCTATAACCAAGTGTCATTAACATCATGACTAAAAATAAGAATGTACTGTTAAGTACCTTTTCAGGATAACTATTAGCATTAGTCTAAAATGTGCTAGCATTAGCATCTAACAAGCATTTACAATAATTAAAGAACGACTGACCATAGTACACATAGGCTATAGATAATACAGAACACACCTTGTCATTTGGAATATAAACACTGAAAATAGGTAGCTAATAAAGTGCACAGGAGCTATAAACAATTAACTTGCATTCACTTTCATCAGGGAGCGTGAGTCTACTACATCTAAATAGCGACCGCCATTACACATACACACACAGCCACCACGAGGGGGTCTTCTACGCGGCATTAAACATAATAAACAACATCTAAACATCACTTCAAACTTAAGACATTGCGATTTATAACATTTGTGACAATCTGTACACATTACTGACCTGTAGAACAGGAGAAATGATGAGCAGAGAATGCCTTTTGCTGCTCGTTTGGCGGGTCTTGCCAGAATGGCAAGCTAACGACAGCTCCGTCATCACGTCAGACATTTTACGGCAGACGTGCAAATAATAACCAACCCCTTTGCGGCAGTGATACCCTGCCATCTACTGCCCCCTGCTGTCCATTGTTAGATAGATAGATAGATAGATAGATAGATAGATAGATAGTACTTTATTGATCCCAAATTGGGAAATTGTTGTTGTTACAGCAGCATAAAAGGCATTTTACAATAAAACAAAACTACAAAATATACAAGAATAGAAAGAAAAATAAAATAAAATATAAAATATACATGTTGAAATAGAAAATATACATGCAGATATTATATATATATACAAATATATATATATATTCAAAATATATGGAATATGGAGTATAAATATTGAACAGATTATAGAGTAAAACGTGGTTTTATTTCTAGAGAAACTATGGAGCAGAGAGTTCTCTTCCAGCCAGAGGTAAAGCCCCGGATGCCCAGGCCAGGCGACGCTACTGCCCTCATAGCCTGCAGCTTGTCACTCAGTAGCCGAGGCTGGATCGTGTTGAATGCACTGGAGAAATCAAAAAAGGTGATTCTCACAGTGCAACCCGATCCATTCAGGTATGAGTGAGCACGCTGCAGCAGGTAAATAATGGCATCGTCCACCCCCAGGTGAGGCTGGTAGGCAAATTGCAGAGGGTCTAGGAATGATCTCACCTGCGGTCTGAGATGGGCCAAGACCAGTCTCTCAAGCACCTTCATCACATGAGATGTGAGTGCTACAGGGCGATAGTCATTGAGCCCAGAAGGAGTCGTCTTTTTAGGGACCGGAACAACGCAGGACGTCTTCCACAGCACCGGGATGGTCTCCAGGTGCAGGCTGAGGTTGTACAGATGTTGGAGAACAGGAGACAGCTGGCGGGCACAGGTCCTCAGGACCCTGGGGCTGATACCATCAGGGCCAGCAGCCTTGCCTTGGTGGAGTTTTTCCATCTGTCTCTGGACCTGTCCTGTGCTCACAGTGAAGCGGGGGGGGGGGGGGCTTGATGGCAGGGGGGATAGAGGGTGGGGGGTCTGAGGCAAGATGAGCAGGGGGGGGGGGGTCAGCGGCAATGTGAGCAGAGGGTGGGTGCAGAAGCCAGGCTGGGTGGTGGAGGAGAGGTGTGAAGTGGAGGTGGTGAGCAGAGGGGGGATGCTGACGCCAGGCTGAGAGAAGGAGGTGAGGTGAGAAGTGGAGGTAGAGGAGACAGCAGCGGGCGGAGAGCTAAACCTATTGAAGAAGGTGTTCAGCTCATTGGCCCTCTCCAGGGTGCCCACAGTCAGTCTGTCTCTCCCTTTGAAGCCAGTGATATAAAATCATATTAAATATAAACATACAATTGTGATTACACTTTGTGTGGGTCACAGGTGAATCAGTTAAAAGGCCTAAATTAACTCAAAATTGCCAAGGTAAAATCGAAATGGATGCGTTTTCAGTCTACGATGAAGATATGCAGAGTTTCTGCTGTCCTGATGTCAATGGGGAGTTCATTCCACCATTTAGGAGCCAGGATAGCAACCAGGTGTGTTTTTGAGGGGTTCCTGGGTCCCACTCTCAGGGATGGAGTAGCACCTGCTTTGACTGTAGTTAGAGAAACTTCTGGATTCAGTCTGAAAGCATCCTTTTTTAACTTTAAACATGATCTTCAATAATGTTGTAGTTTAACTCTGAGAGGTCCACTGGCTGGACTCCTCACTGGGACTCTGGTTCTGGACCAGCTTGCAGGGTCCAGGAGTTCTTGGAGAGAAGGAGCGCTTCCTGCCGCAGGACTCGGGGGATGGGAGTTCCTGAACATGGAGAAACAGCTTCAGTTATTATGCTCCAAATATATGGAACAAAGTCACAGAAAGAATGTGTCTGCAGCTCAGAGAGTCCTGCTGGGAACCCACACATGTTGAGGAGCCCAAAGTGTGATGAGAGAAATGTACAGTACGGGTCCCCAGCACATAGAAGCTGCCGGATGCTAACCTCCATACAGATGGAGCATCTTATTTCAGACTCCAGCATACAGCTTCCTGCCTGCTACCTTCCAGCTACCTGCCTAAGACCTGCCAAAGACCAGTATCTGGGAATGTTAAGCCCTCCCACTATTTTCCAAGAGGGCGTTGCCAGATTTTCAATTTCAGGATTTAACCAGGAGATGGCGCTTCATTCACAAAAACAGGAAGACAACTTTTCATGGACTTTCAGTTTTGTTTAGAAGAGCATTTGAACACATCAATATTTTAGATCAAATAAAGTATATCTAATCTTGTAATTCAATAATATATAGTCTTTATATATTAAATAACTATGGCCAAACTAAGACTTAGTTTTTCAAAAGAGAAAATGCAGATATTATATAAAAAACTAAAGTTAAAATCTTGTTTTTAATGCCCCAAGAGCAATAAAAACACTTGGTAAAAAAATCCTGAGTGAGGCTTTCATAAATTGCATTTAGCTGACGCTTTTATCCAAAGCGACTTACTATTTAATAAATGATAAATGATTATTCATAACAAATATGAGTGATGTGTGATTATTATTCATGCTATATACTGATATAGGGCTAAGTAAGCAATCAATCCTGCAAATTAACCCTTAGTTGTTCAATATATTTATTCAGACAATGTGAGTAGAAATACAGAAATTCTGCTCCCACCTAAGGCCAACGTTGCAATATTACAACATTTCCCTAAAAACGTACCAAAACGTAAACATTTTTAAAACTCTTTCATTTCTGCTCCAGAGGCTATACAACAACATCTGAAAGGTCAAAAAAACAAACAGGGCTAGACAGCCATTTGTAACATATGGGAGAATGGTGAAAAGAACCAACTGGACTGGGACCAATGGGAAAATGCCTCTTCCCCTCAATGTGAAGCAAAAGATTGAGTCCTATGTTTCCAATCGGTTCCCAAATGTGAACATTATTTTGTATTTTTATTAAATTTGACAATGTCAATTTCACTTTGTACAGGTATCTTGGGTCAGTCTTGTCTTCCAAAAATCAGGAAGTAAAGTCAAGATGTGAACTCAACACGTAGTCACTCAGAGGGGGGTACTAATTATTTTCAAATGCATATAGGCAATGCCAACCATTTACATGTACTGTAGGCTCTTTCAGTCAAGAATTTGAATTTGAATGGGATGGGGAGATGCTCTGCCAACACTGACCCAATCTTCTGCTCCTTACAGCCCACTGCCTGTGTTTTAACATGTTTTAACAAAGAATATTTTTATTGCAGAAATCTGTTGTACCAACCGCATTGATATATCAAAGCAATCATATTTTCCATTTTCAGTAACAACAAAACAGCGGATTCAGAACATACTAGTACAATTAGGCTGTTGGCGGTTTTAAAACACATCCATGGGCGAGATAACAAGAAATGCAATATTCATGCCAGAAACAAGAGGGCAGTCCAAGAGAACACATCAGGAAAAATAAAAAATGTTCATAGCAAATTGAAAAAAAAACGAAAAAAAAAACAACAAGATAAAAGTTACAGGATTAACATTATTCATCCCACACCTTCATCCTCACCCAGACCTCTTAAGTGTCTCATCACTGGAGCCCAGGCCTTATCAAACACTATCCCCCTTCCTGCATTCTTGAATCTAAGTTTCTCCAGGTAGAGGATCTCACCCAACTCTCTCAGCCACATCTCGAATGTAGGCACAGTATCAGACTTCCATAACCTCAAAATAAGTTTTTTAGCCAAAACAGTACCCAAAAACACCGGTTCAGATCAGTGTCACTCGTGGCCACAAGGGGATCAGGCTTCAATTGCTTGTCAAATGCTTTTGAATAAAAATCAAATACAGAAGTCCAGAATGAGTGGAGGTTGGGGCATGTCCAGAATTGGTGTGTATGGGTGCCAGCTTGATTTTTTCATTTGTTACATAATGCTGATACGCTGGAATAGTTTTAAGTATAGATGAAAAATAGCCTGAGTCTTGTCTTCCAAAAAGTTTGTGACAAGATGTGAAGTCAACAGGTATTCACTCAGAGGGGGGTAGGTACTAAATGCCACCCATTTACATGTAGGCAAACAAAGTCAAACATCAACATACAGTAAGGGGGTGGGGGATGGTGAACGGTATGGTCAATGTTTGTAAACACAATCCCCAGGATGTGTCCTAATCAAACCAAAATAGAAAATGCAGATATTAGAATAGTAAATGGTAGACATATCAGTAGCCTACTCTTAGTGCCAAGTTGTCTCAGACAATCTGCATTTCCTAATGTGGGACAGTTCTGTGCAAAATGTGGGACACTGAAAAGTCTATGTTAAAAAGCCTCAGTCACCTTAATTCATGTAATAAAAACATCTCAGGTCAGTAACACTGAAAGCTAAATGTGCAATACCATGTTCAGCTATGTTACTATTTATAATGTTATTGTTGTTACAACAGAAGATGTTTTTCTTTATATTGAAGTTAAATGCATCAATCTGGTGCACTTTGAGGGCAAAATTAAGAGATTTATGGATACCGCTGGAAAAAGCTGCATATGCCGAGCCTGTACGTAGCGCTGTAACTTCCTCCACAAAAGCAGCCTTCTGTTTATTCAACGTGGTGGGGGCCGAGGGAACCGGGCAGAGTTTTTCGCCGGTCAACGTGTGTTAAAGTTTAAATCTTCCTTATTGAGCTTTAAAACAAATGAATAACGACTATATATAATAATAAAATACACGGAGCCTGGCCTCTCTTTGTCCTCCCTCTCTTCTGACAGCGTCAGTGTCTGTCTCATGCAGCAGCTGATCCAGTAATGAGTGACACATTTTGAGTTGTATACACTGTTGGAAAGAGGAGATTCCTAGCTTTCTAATGATATCAGGATTGTTTTTGTACTCCAAATATTAAGCAAAATATGTCACATTATATAATGACTGTCACAGAGTCATCATTGTGAGAAAAAGGCCTTCAAAGTTTCCTCTTCTCTGGAATCCATCGATCTGATTGATTATTAGCGGAGCAAATGATCAAAATAGTCCGGAGGGAAAATATTTCCGTTTGGATTACTGGTCTGGGGGAAGCTCGCGAGTGTATGTGTGTGTGTGTGTTTGTGCATTTTTGCGTAAGTGTATATTGTGTTTGTTTCCCGGGGAAAACACTCACGAGAAACACCGGCTGTTGTTATGCCTGCTGTAACGTTAAATTACTCCGTTCTCCGCTTGTAATTATGCCTTAAGCTTCATAGTTGTATTTATCATCTAAATTTGACGAAACAAGTTTAATATTCTGAAAGCCAAGACTTTGTTTATTTGAAATCAGATGAAAACAAACTGTAACGGACCCTGCCGTGTATATGCCTTACTGTACATTCATAATTACAGCCGGAGGGAGGGGGGGCGGCGCTGTGGAAGAGCAGATTGCGAGTGAGGTGCCTGTCATCTTCCCTTTACAAGCTTCACAAATGTATTTATCGTGTGATTTTGGAAATAAAAGTTTCATATTCTGAAAGCCAAGACTTTGTTTATTTAAAATCAAACAAAACACCCGAACCCCGAAAAAATAGTTTTTTACGCAAATCCACGTTTATTTTGAAATGAGCCGTTGCGACTTCCGACTGATTTCCATAGAGCGGGTCACATATATTATATAGTGTATTGTATTATTAAGTAATATCATACATTAACCCCATTATAGTAGAAGCCACATTGAATGGATGAACACATGTATGCATCAATAATTACAACAGAGTATTTCTAAATACAAGCTGTAAAAATACTTATATGTATTTAATACTAATAACATAATGATTAATTTCAGATGATAATACTTTTCAGTGTCTGTCTCATGCAGCAGCTGATCCCGGCCGACAGTAAACATAAACATTTATAACTAGTTTAGGTTGTTTGAGAGGTAATTGAAATAGCTAAGGGTGATGATCTGACTTGAAGTGTGTGTTTTGCTCCTCCCGCTGCATCACAGCTGTGTATATCACCATTCTTTAATTAAATGTTTGATAAGACATTGAGCGCTTACTCGGTAAATAACAAACATACCTAAAAAACATAGCCTACCAAACATATGAATATATAGGCTACTGGAGCTTAAATTAAGAAATATGTAGCCTATAATGTGATCAATAATGATTTTAAACAAACTACGTATAACTACCACATTATAACTGAGTGAATGTAAAACTTAAGGATACAGTTATGAAGACATATCTGACCGTTAAATACATTATTAAAATATCCATTTCCACTGGGTGACTAATTTCAATTGATGTTGACACCATCTCACAACACTCCAAAAATAACATGACTTTCTGAAGCACAATTTAAAATGTATGCTGTTTAAAATCTCAAATTAGATCTATTGTCCATCTATATTTTGATTATTGTTTAATGGGAACTGTCCATAATCAAAGAGTCATTCCACTTCAGACTGAGAAAGTCAGTCAGCGAATATCAGGACATTCTGATGTAACATTTCAAGATAAAAGACCTTTGAAATGTCATATATGAGCTATGGTCCCGCTGTTTTTAGATAAGAATAAACTACTGAGTGTTGATTTATATCCAGGTTTGGGTTGTAACGGAATACATGTAACGGCGTTACGTAATCAGAATACAAAAATCAAGTAACTGTATTCAGCTCGCGTTACATTTGAAAAACGAGTAATCTGATTACAGTTACTTCTATAAAAACAGCTGTGGGCAGCAGATACTGTGATTGTCACGGACATGAATTCATAGATCAAGGCAGACTGGTGCACACACTCTCCTGTTTTCCCAATCCGGTGCTTAAACAAATATAGCTCTACACCCCTGGCCGAAATGTCCATAAAATGAAGTCTGAGTTCGACATTTTAATTAATGTCCTGCCAACACTGGCAGGACAGAAGGCGACACGCCCGTTCTAAGCCGTGTCCCTCACTCCTCACATCCCAAGCTGCATCCCCAAAAAGTGTATTATGTTGTTACATCGTTTCAGATGTTATGTTTCAGTTGTGCTCTTAATAAACCATTAAAACAGTAAAAACACGTTCAGTTTCCTTTTGCTTTTTGTGTCTCCTGTTCACCAAAACATTCCCATCTGTGATGGATAAAGAAAGTAAACCAAAAGTAATCTAAAAGTAATCTAATTACGTTACTTTTTTAAGACACGTAACTGTAACTGTATTCGGATTACTTTCAGAGCCATGTATTCAGTAATCAGTAACTGATTACATTTACAAAGTAACCCTCCCAACCCTGTTCATATCGCAATATATTCCAGAAGTCTGAAATGCAAAATGTTAGAAATTAAAATCAATGTTTAATAGCATTATTTAGTCTAAAACATACCGTCAGTTTAAAAGCTGTTTTATTGTGAAAAACCCGGAAGTTCTCATAAAATCTCAATGCCAAGCTTTAATTCTGAAAATCCTTCATATCCGGTTAGTATTTAGCATGTGGCTAATATTACGTTTTCTGAATGTGAAGTGAAAATGACACGGAATGTTGCACACCAAAACCTACTGACTTTAACATTACATCTATAGACGTAGAGATATTATTACTGATGAATATTAAATGAAGGTACAGTTGATCGTAAAGTGTTTTCACATACGTGGGTAGCTATGACGTCAGAAGGAGTTACCGTAAATGAGAGCTGCCGTAAAAGTGTTTCTAGGATTTCTAAACGAACTATTACAGCTGTTATAAAGCATTAAATAAAAAGCCATGAAAGAGATAAGGAGGAGAAAAGGCTTAAGGAAGTAAGCAAGGAATACAAAATGTCGAAATCCTCTGTTTCACGCGATGTCGAACATTGAAGACGAGGAGGGCGGTCCCCCTATCTGCACAGCGGGAGAGAACGAGAAGAGCATAAAGCAGATCGGAGGAGACATCACGATCTCTCTACTTCGCTGCAGCCTCCCGAGGGACAACACCGGCTTTTGTCTCTTCCTTACCTATGCTTGTTCTATAACGACGTTACTTAATTAAAGTATCCATTTAAACCTTTTCAGAGACTCCATTAGTCTCATCATTTTAAGTTTCTTTCCTGGGAGCGAGAAGATCACAGTTCATCAATAAAAACATTTCCCACATTAGGGCAATTCACCTATACTTAACCCCAAATAAAAGAACCCAATAAAAATAGTTGTTAAATAATAGTGAAGTCACGTTGTAATAATAACTCGTCTCTCGGTTTGAGTGTTCTTTTTCTGCTTTGCCAAAAGCCACTGTGTCAAGTGTCTAGTGACTATTTCTAGTGGATGCATGTCAATTTAAATCAATACATACAACTATTTTTTAAATCAATAAAAACATTTTCTAAATCCATAAAAGCATTTCAATTAAGATTGGGAGTCATGTCGTTACTTTGTTGAGAATGTGGCCATGTAATAAGCGGGATAATTTGCAGCGACTTGGTCATTATGGGGAAAATAACACCCGGGGATCAATACAGAATATTCATATTTGTCAGTGATTTCATGTCAATTCGGCGAACATAAACATAAATGATCGTGGTGAAGATGATTAAATTAGGATTAAAAATCGAGAGCCGGCTGCATTTCCTCTCGTTCGTTTTTTTCGACTAAACAACATTATTTTGTTAAATAACAACATGGTGATGTTTTGTAAATGATTACATGTCTTATTTAGCACAGACTATGATCCTATCCGTGACATATGGATCTTAACAAAGATCCGCTATACATTAGTACCAGACATACTGTACATCCAGCTTACTGTGTCGAAGTTGATTTCACATGAGCTCCAGTGTGGAACCCCACTGCACCCCCTGGTGGATCAATGATCCGTTGCAGCTGGCTTCACAATAATTACATTTATTTATCACGGGGGCGGTCTCAAGTCAGACTGGGGGCAGGCTCTTCATCACGGGCCGTTCACGGGCCGTGCACGGGCCGACCACGACCCTCGCGTTTCAAACTGTCCTAAATAAGCTGCTACATCTGTATGTTGGGAGAGCTTTACAGATCAGGAGAGGAACTAAGTACATTTACTCAAGCACTGTACTTAAGTACACTTTTGAGGTACTTGTACTTTACTTGAGTACTTCCATTTAATGCTGCTTTGTACTTTTAATCCACTACATGTATTTAATACCTAGCAGGAAACCGATGGACTGTCCACTCCAAGTAGGGAATGAGTCCTTACCCCAAGTGAAGGAGTTCAAGTATCTCGGGGTCTTGAGGGAACAATGGACTGAAGATGGGTTAGAGAATCAGCGGGAGCTATATTGCAGTCGCTTTACCGCACAGTTGTGACAAAGAGATAGCCGGGCCAGAAGGCAAAGACTACCGTCCATCTTCATTCCTACCCTCACTTCATCATGACCGAAAGAAGAAGATCACGGATACAAGCGGCCGAAATGTGTTTCCTCCGAGTGTCTGGCATCTCCCTTACGGATAAGGTGAGCTCAGTCATGGGGAGGGACTCGGGGTAGAGCTGCTGCTCCTTCGCGTAGAAAGGAGTCAGTTGAGGTGGTTTAGGCACCTGGTAAGGATGCCACCTGGGCGCCTCCCAAGAGGTGTTCCAGGCACATCCTAGGCTTGAAGGACACTAAGGGGCAGACCCAGGACCAGGTGGAGGGATTATATCTCCACACTGGACTGGGAGCTGCTTGGATCCACCAGTCAGAGCTGGCTGATGGGAAAGGGGCCCTCTGCTGGAGCAGCTACCTCCGCTACCTGACTCCAGATCAGAGGTGGAAGATGGATGGAAAATATACTGTCACTTCACTTAATATTGAGGATAGCCAACAGGAAGTCCCTTCCTTCTACTTTATTTTCCCACGCCTCCACGCTCCTCTTTACGTCTCAAACTCTAGAAATAAATGAACTGAGAACAAATCAAACCTGAGCTTGCAGATTTGTCTGGAACACCAGAAAAACACTGAGCAATAACTACATTTTATTCAGTGGTGAAACCTCAATAAATAAACTTCAGTTGGTACGACCTCTCACCTTTCTGTGTGTCTTCACTTCCTGTCACCTGAGAGGAGAAGGAGAGAGAGAGAGAATAATGATGATGATAAAGAGAAACAGCCAAAATGATGAAGAGAGAAACAAGAGTGTTGTTTTCCTCTGAGGTCATGCTCCATTAAAGAGTTTCATATCTTGATGAATGGAGGATATTCAGTACTCACAGGTCTTCTGGATCTTGGCTCTGATCGTCTCATCTCTTCTGATCCTGTAGGGATGAACACAATCCAACAGTTTTAGATCCAGTTTAAAATAAGTGTTTGTTCTTTGAGTCAGCTTCAGAGTGTCACGATCCTAATGTTATGTCATGTTTTTAGTTTAGTCTGTCTTGTTTTGGGTGTTATTTTGTAATTCTGTTCTCCCTGTCTCTTGTCTTCCTTCCTGTGTTTTTCCTCCTTGTGTCTTGTCTGATCCTACTCCCTGGCCCTTTCTCATTTCATCAAATGTTCCTCCTTGACTCCTATCCTCGACTCCTATCCTCGAGACTTAGTCCCGCCCACAGGAGATGCGAGCGGAGGAGCCGAGGAGGGGAACCGAGGAGAGAGGAGGGGAAGCAGCAGGCGGTTAGAGAAATGAGAACTCCTCTCCTCTGAGCGGTCATTTTAAAGAGACGTCCATTAATGATGACAGGAGGCACAGCAGCCCTCTGTCTGATGGACAGATGTGTTCATGACGACTTATATATTTACTTTCATTCATTCACAGTGCGGTATAATGAGACAATAACAGGCTACAGATGCGGACACACACACACAAACACACACACACACACATATATATATATATATATTTATATATATATTTATATAAATGTATACAATTTCAGAATCAAACAGAGCACTCTCATAATAACGTAACACTATCAGAGACTGGATATATTCCCCCCCCTCCCCTCCCCTCTCTGGTCGCTACAATGAGGAAAATAAATTACGGGCCAAAAGTTGTATCTACAAGTATTAAAAGTAAGCAGAGGACACCAAACCAACTGAGACCTGTCTGTCCGCTGCATCTACGCACACACTGTACCACACACACCTACACCACACACACGCACCTACAGCTCCTAAAGCAGGGGTGGGCATTTTACGGCCCGCGGGCCACATCCGGCCCGTTGGCCGGCCTTGGCCGGCCCGTGTGAGGTTGATCATAAATTATAACATAATTAAAAAAAACAGCAACCTTTTCAAAATAAAAGCAACACAGCTGTATTGCTTGCATGGCGTAAATACTTTTCTAACTGTGTTGGTTTTATTTTGAAAAGGAAGCTGCTGTTTTTTTAATTTATTTACATAAACGCGCATGCCGTAACAGCTACGAGTGATGCTGGCCGGCTAGTCCTCGAAATGTCCGCTAAGGGCAAAAAAAGAAAGATCGATACTGAATGCCGCGTTTTCAACAAGACATGGACCGCTAAGTATTTATTTACAGAAGTGCAAGGTAAAGCTGTGTGTTTAGTTTGTGGTGCGCAGGTCGCTGTGTTCAAGGAGTACAATTTGAGTCGCCACTATGCTACCAAACACGCAGATAAATACAAGAACCTGTCTGAGGAAGAGCGGGCAAAGGGGTCGGATGCTTTGCTAGCTAAGCTGCAAAGCCAACAACACATTTTCACAAAACATTCCACATCCAGAGATGCAGCTGTCAAGACGAGTTATGTCTTAAAAGTAAACCGTTTTCGGACGGAGAGTTCATAAAGGAGTGTTTGTTGGACACTAATATGCCCGGAGAAAAAGGAGGCATTTGAGAAAGTGCCGCTCTCCCGACGCACTGTTACGAGGAGAATTGAGGACATCGCGGGAAATCTGGAGCTTCAGCTGCAGAACAGAGCGGTCAACTTTGACTTTTTTTCCTTGGCTTTGGATGAGAGCTGCGATGTACGTGACACTGCCCAGCTACTCATCTTCCTACGTGGGATAACTACAGACTTCAAAATCACGGAGGAGCTGGCAGCCATGCAGTCAATGAAAGGTACAACAACAGGGAGTGATTTGTTCACGGAGGTAAATGCATGTGTGGAAAAGTTGGGACTGAAATGGGACAAGCTGGCAGGCGTGACAACGGATGGTTGTCCAAATCTGACAGGGAAAAATGTTGGACTATTGAAGAGAATGCAGGATAAAGTGACAGAAATTAACCCTGAGCAGAAATAGGTATTTTTGCATTGTATTATACATCAGGAAGTGTTGTGTAAGTCAGTGTTAAAAATTAACCATGTTGTTGATGTTGTAACTAAAATAGTTAACTTCATCAGGGCAAGAGCATTGAATCACAGACAGTTTGTTGCACTTTTGGAGGAAAGTGAGACTGAACATCGTGACATACCCTACCATGCAGCTGTCAGGTGGCTCAGCCTGGGCAAAGTGCTGAAAAGAGTATGGGACCTGAGAGAAGAGATTCAAGACTTCTGTGTGAAGAAAGGAAACGACATCCCACAGCTTTCAGATGCAGACTGGATGGCAGACCTTGGTTTTGCTGTAGATGTGACTGCACTAATGAGTGAACTAAATGTCAAACTGCAAGGCAAGGGCCTTTTTGTGCATGACATGTACAGTGCAGTGAAGGCTTTCATGAGAAAGCTGCAGCTTCTCTCAAGCCAAATGGAGGACAACATTCTCACGCACTTGCCAACACTGAAGGAAGCCACACCATCAGCTGATCACCTCCAGAGGTACTCATCCATGTTAGAAGCACTGCATGGTGAGTTTTCAAGGCGATTTAAAGACTTCAAAACAGTTGAGAATGAAATGAACATGATCTTTTCCCCATTTACATGCCATGTGGATGATGCACCCAGTGATGTTCAGCTTGAACTCATTGACCTGCAGTCTGACACACTTCTGTCAGAGCACTTTAGGTCAGTCTCACTGCCTGAGTTTTACTCTTCCCTGAAAGAGGAGAACTTTCCACACATCAGGAGACGTGCTCAGAAGATGATGGTCCTCTTTGGATCTACCTACATATGTGAACAGACATTCTCAGTGATGAAGTTCAACAAATCCAGATACAGATCCTCTATCACTGATGATCACCTCTCAGCTGTCCTTCGCATATCCACCTCAGACATTGAACCAGATTTCCGTGCACTTGTTCAAGCCCAAGACAGACTGGATTTTTCTCACTGAACAAGTAAAATTAACTGAAAAACAAAAATCAAAAGCACTCATTTCTTTTTGTATAAAGCTGATTCATTTCTTATCTTTAACATACTGTAAAACACCTTTTCAGTATTGGTATATTGAGCAGAATTAAGTTCAACTTATTTTTGATTCGGCCCCCCAACACAGCTCGAGTTTCTGAAGTGGCCCCTTGTAAAAAATAATTGCCCACCCCTGTCCTAAAGCATAATAATCAGGCTACAGCCGTTGTGTATTTTATTTTGTGAAGCACTAAATGGTTTTAGAAACATCTGGACTCTTTGTAGATATCTACTAAACTAAAGCAGATAAAGAGAGTAGGCCTGTTATACTGAGTGATATATATTATACACACTGCTCTGCTTTCTGCACGGACCTCACAGCTGTTCTCTCTGTAAACATCGCGTCGCGATGAAAGCAGTTAATAAAATAATATCCAGGGGATGCATGCAGAGCTGTGATTGGCTGAGATAAGTCCGGCCGTGCGTCACGACTCTTTGAAACATTTCTGTTCCCGGAAATGCATCCACGAAGGAGCCGTGGAGGACCGTGGAGGACCCATCAGTGTATCCTCGGTTATAGCTCCTCCAGAGAGCCTCCTCGACGCTCGATGCTCGGTCCTCGATGTGCATTTAGAGAAATGAGATGTCCTTCAACATGGCGCGCTAAAATTCATTTCCGGGTCACTACCGGAGGACCGAGGAGTCGAGGAGTCGAGGAGGGACATTTGATGAAATGAGAACGGGCCCCTGTGTTTTCCTTCCTGTCGTTAGTTTCCCTGGTGTGTCTGATTGTCTAATTGTGTTCACCTGTTGCCCTTGTGTTTCTGCCTCCCCTGCCCAGCTGTTTCTTGTCCCGTAATTACCCCTCCCTGTATTTAGTCTTGTCTTTCCCTGTGTTCCCCTGTCGGTTCATTGTTTGTCTTTCCTGTCTCCCTCCATGTTGGTCACGGTCAGTGTTGTGTGTTAATGTTACCTTTTCGATTCATGCCATGTTTTTGTTTATCAGCTTTTAAATAAAGCTCGTTTTGTTTCTAAACCTTTTACCTTTTCTGTAGTCTGCATTTGGGTCCTACCTTTTCCGCGATCTTTACAGTGATCTTAACACAGAGTCCTGATCTCATGCTTTACATCCCATCGTATCTTCTCTGAAAACTACGACTGCCTGCCACAGCTCTCAGCTGCATTACAGGAAGTAACCAGTCATTAGAAACTAAAAACATCCCATAAAAACAGACTACCTTTTCCACTCTTCTGTCAAATCCCATATGTCTGGTGGAAAGTTGATTACTTACTAAATGTGGCTTTGCATTTTCAGCTGGCCTTCTATAGTTGATGGAAGAATGAAAGAGCCTGCAGTCAGTGGGTAACATCACTGATCTGTTGTGATTCCCCAGTGAGAGAAACACCTCCCTGAGTTTAATACAATACTGCTGAACCAGCAGAGACCCCTTACTGACCTGAGAGTCTCCAGTCTGCAGTCTGGACTCTCCATAAGATCTCTCAGCAGCTCCACTCCTGAATCCTGCAGATCGTTGTCACCCAGGTCCAGATCTCTCAGATGGATGTTGGACTTCAGAGCTGAGGCCAGAGCAGAACAGCTGATCTCTGACAACCTGCAGTTCCTCAGACTGAATAAAGAAAACATGTCACTTTAGAAAACAATGTTCCTGTTTGAAATAACTCCAGGTTTAATAATCTGTTCAGAGTTAAACAGGGTTTTAATGTCAGAGATGATGCAGAAACAATCCACTGATAATCTGGAACTTTAACTTTGATCAGATGTTTAACAACTCCTTCATCTCCCTCACAGCTCATCAGTACTGACAGCATCTCCACTGACTCATGGAGCACAGAGTGAGTCTGTGGAAGCTCAAACACTCTCCCTCACACATTCGCCTTCTCTTTGTTACTCTGATCAATATTCAGTCATTAGCAACAGTGGAAAAATTGAAAATAACATTGTATTTGTTCAAATTCAGAAAATCCTAAACACAAACAGATCAATATGAACTGCACTCATTGAACTGACCTGAGGGTCTCCAGTCTGCAGTCTGGACTCTCCAGAAGATCTCTCAGCAGCTTCACTCCTGAATCCTGCAGTGCGTTGTAACTCAGGTCCAGATCTCTCAGATGGATGTTGGACTTCAGAGCTGAGATCAGAGCAGAACAGCTGATCCCTGACAACCTGCAGCCCCTCAGTCTGAATAAAGAAAACATGATGAGGATACAAATCTGTTTATAATGGGAACAGAAAAATCTGTCTACTTCAAAAAGTAAACTTTATCCTGTAAAACGACTATAACTTCAGATGACCTTTATTCAGACGTTATCGTTTACTAAATATTAAATACATAGATTTACTTTTCACAGCTAACATCTTTAACAGTTTGTGGCGGCGGGGTGTAGTTAGAGCGCCGGCTGCAGGAGTGATGGGAGTGGCTCGGCCGGAGACCAGACAGCTGATCAGAATCAGGTTATCAGTCACTCAATAAAAGCTTGTGGTAACCTGGTTCTGGTCGGTCTTGCAGTAGGCTGGGTCCTGGGAGAACATCTGGACCACGGATGCATGACTAAGCCTCCGCACAGCCTCCCGTTTGTTTTGGAGGAGCTTTTTATTTTGGCAGTATTTGGACAATAAACACCTATGTTAATCCTGAATCCTTCTCCTTCTGGACATTTTGAACCCGTGTGTGAGCTGAGGTGCTCACACAGTTCCTTTAAGAAAAAGTCAACATGTATGTCTGCGGTTCTTCATTTAGTATGTAAAAATGAAATATGAATAAAAGGACATTTACTTCTTTATGGATGTTAGTGATTAATGTACATAAATAAGGATCAATTACAAAGTGAACATGTGAGATCTCCAGCAGTAACAGAGAGTCAGTGAACTGACCTGAGAGTGTCCAGTCTGCAGTCTGGACTCTCCAGAAGATCTCTCAGCTCCACTCCTGAGTCCTGCAGAGCGTTCTCACTCAGGTCCAGATCTCTCAGATGGATGTTGGACTTCAGAGCTGAGATCAGAGCAGAACAGTTGATCTCTGACAACCAGCAGCCCCTCAGTCTGAATAAAGAAAACATGATGTAACTTTAGAAAACAATGTTCCTGTTTGAAATAACTCCAGGTTTAATAATCTGTTCAGAGTTAAACAGGGTTTTAATGTCAGAGATGATGCAGAAACAATCCACTGATAATCTGGAACTTTAACTTTGATCAGATGTTTAACAACTCCTTCATCTCCCTCACAGCTCATCAGTACTGACAGCATCTCCACTGACTCATGGAGCACAGAGTGAGCCTGTGGAAGCTCAAACACTCTCCCTCACACATTCACCTTCTCTTTGTTATTCTGATGAATATTCAGTCATTAGCAAAAATGGAAAAATTGAAAATAACATTGTATTTGTTCAAATTCAGAAAATCCTAAACACAAACAGATCAATATGAACTGCACTCATTGAACTGACCTGAGGGTCTCCAGTCTGCAGTCTGGACTCTCCAGAAGATCTATCAGCAGCTTCACTCCTGAATCCTGCAGTGCGTTGTAACTCAGGTCCAGATCTCTCAGATGGATGTTGGACTTCAGAGCTGAGATCAGAGCAGAACAGCTGATCCCTGACAACCTGCAGCCCCTCAGTCTGAATAAAGAAAACATGATGAGGATACAAATCTGTTTATAATGGGAACAGAAAAATCTGTCTACTTCAAAAAGTAAACTTTATCCTGTAAAACGACTATAACTTCAGATGACCTTTATTCAGACGTTATCGTTTACTAAATATTAAATACATAGATTTACTTTTCACAGCTAACATCTTTAACAGTTTGTGGCGGCGGGGTGTAGTTAGAGCGCCGGCTGCTGGAGTGATGGGAGTGGCTCGGCCGGAGACCAGACAGCTGATCAGAATCAGGTAATCAGTCACTCAATAAAAGCTTGTGGTAACCTGGTTCTGGTCGGTCTTGCAGTAGGCTGGGTCCTGGGAGAACATCTGGACCACGGATGCATGACTAAGCCTCCGCACAGCCTCCCGTTTGTTTTGGAGGAGCTTTTTATTTTGGCAGTATTTGGACAATAAACACCTATGTTAATCCTGAATCCTTCTCCTTCTGGACATTTTGAACCCGTGTGTGAGCTGAGGTGCTCACACAGTTCCTTTAAGAAAAAGTCAACATGTATGTCTGCGGTTCTTCATTTAGTATGTAAAAATGAAATATGAATAAAAGGACATTTACTTCTTTATGGATGTTAGTGATTAATGTACATAAATAAGGATCAATTACAAAGTGAACATGTGAGATCTCCAGCAGTAACAGAGAGTCAGTGAACTGACCTGAGAGTGTCCAGTCTGCAGTCTGGACTCTCCAGAAGATCTCTCAGCAGCTCCACTCCTGAGTCCTGCAGAGCGTTCTCACTCACGTCCAGATCTCTCAGATGGGAGGGGTTGGACATCAGAGCTGAGATCAGATCAGAACAGCTGATCTCTGACAACCTGCAGCTCCTCAGTCTGAATAAAGAAAACATGATGAGGATAAAAATGAATTTATACTCAGATGTGTTACTCAACATTGAAATGAATGGGAACAATAAAATCTGTCTCCTTCAGAAAGTAAACTTTATCATGTAAAACTAATATTACTTCAGATGACCATTATTCAGACGATATCGTTTACTAAATATTAAAAATATAGATTTACTTTTTACAACTAACATCTATTACAGTTACTTTAAGAAACAGTCAAGATTTAAGTCTGCAGTTCTTACTTCATACTCTTAAAAATGAAATATGAATAAAAGGACATTTACTTCTTTATGGATGTTAGTGATTAATAAATATAAATCAGGTTCAATCACAAAGTGAACATGTGAGATCTCCAGCAGTAACAGAGAGTCAGTGAACTGACCTGAGAGCCTCCAGTCTGCAGTCTGGACTCTCCAGAAGATCTCTCAGCAGCTCCACTCCTGAATCCTGCAGATCGTTGTTACTCAGGTCCAGAACTCTCAGATGGGAGGGGTTGGACTTCAGAGCTGAGATCAGATCAGAACAGCTGATCTCTGACAAACTGCAGCCCCACAGTCTGAATAAAGAAAACATGATGTAACTTTAGAAAACAATGTTCCTGTTTGAAATAACTCCAGGTTTAATAATCTGTTCAGAGTTAAACAGGGTTTTAATGTCAGAGATGATGCAGAAACAATCCACTGATCATCTGGAACTTTAACTTTGATCAGATGTTTAACAACTCCTTCATCTCCCTCACAGCTCATCAGTACTGACAGCATCTCCACTGACTCATGGAGCACAGAGTGAGTCTGTGGAAGCTCAAACACAGGTTTCCTGCAGGTTTCACCAACTCAAATGTAAGACTTTTTAAGACCTTTTTAAGAACACTTTTAATAGAATTTTAGACCTTTTTTACGGCAAGAAAGTATGAAGGAGAATTGCTATGAAAGAAGAAATATGTCCCATAATTACTTTCAAAGTAAATGTATTCACGTTCAACATAAGAACGATGACTGAACATAACAGCATAACAGTACACAGAACTGTGTTAGCGTGTTAGACAAAAAGTGTGTATGTGTGTGTGTCTCTGTGTCGGTGTGTGTGTGTGTGTGTGTGTGTGTGTGTGTGTGTGTGTGTGTGTGTGTGTGTGTGTGTGTGTGTGTGTGTGTGTGTGTGTGTGTGTGTGTGTGTGTGTGTGTGTGTGTGTGTGTGTGTGCTGCTGCCTTGGCTACAATCTTTCATCGTTGCTGTTTTAGGATTGGTGTTTAGCTACGGTATTTAGCATCCACAGCACCTCCGCTTGAAGGGTTGACGTAGACCCAAAAGTCAACCGGAAGTCCCCCAATGTTGTTGTGGGAGCTGCTGCAAAAGGTGCAGCGGGCTTCAAACACATTCCCCTCCACTGGTTTCAACCAAGCACTAAATTCGATGTTTTCCAACCAAATACGGTTGAACTTACACTTCACCATATTTATTTGTAAGTAGATTCAAAGATACCTGAGTACCTTCTAAATCATATTTAAGACCTTTCTTGTTTTTTTGATCATATTTAAGACTTTTTAAAGGGCCCATGTCATGGCCATTTCCACTGATCATAATTCCATTGTTGAGGTATACTAGAATTGATTTATATTGTGCATTTTTCCAAACTCACATTGGTTTCTCAAACAGCATCTCTGTAAACTACGTGTATTCACTGAATTTCACTCTCTGCCTTTAACGGCTCGTTGTAGCTCCAATAGCTCCAGCCCCCACCCTCCCTGTAAGCACAGTGTGCTCTGATTGGTCGGGACGTTGTGAATCGCGCTGAGCTCCGTGGAGGTGTTGTTTCCTTGTTAGCGATACACAGCCAAACACAGCCAAACTCATCCTGAGCACACACAAAGTCACAGCCGAAGTAAAAACAATAAGTGTGGCTTGATATTGAGTAAGAAAAAGGTTGATAAACGCTGTGAGAATGGGTCTGCAGAGAGAATGGGTCTGCAGAGAGAATGGGTCTGCAGAGAGAATGGGTCTGTAGTGAGAATGGGTCTGCAGAGAGAATGGGTCTGCAGAGAGAATGGGTCTGCAGAGAGAATGGGTCAGCAGAGAGAATGGGTCTGCAGAGAGAATGGGTCTGCAGAGAGAATGGGTCTGTAGTGAGAATGGGTCTGCAGAGAGAATGGGTCTGCAGAGAGAATGGGTCTGCAGAGAGAATGGGTCTGCAGAGAGAATGGGTCAGCAGAGAGAATGGGTCAGCAGAGAGAATGGGTCTGCAGAGAGAATGGGTCTGCTGAGAGAATGGATCTGCAGAGAGAATTTTGCCGCGATCCCAACTGTCTGTTATCAGCCTGCAGCCAGGGAGGAGAAATCAGCTGAGCTGCCTGCTCCCTGCACACAGATGTGTGTGTGAGGAAGTCCGTGGATTGGTCAATTTGGACCAATCAGCGGGGGCTTAACGTAACGGCTCCGCGGACGTAACTTAACGGCTCCACGGATTGGTCCATTTCGTTCCGGGTACGGTTTGACATCATGCCGTACCCGGAACGAAATGGAAGAATCAAATGGACAGTGACGTATCTCCAACGAGGCGTTTTGGGGAGGTATTTTCTGTGTTAGAGTTTTACTCGCTACAGGGTGTACTTTGAGGGTTTTGACTCTGCACACCGTTTACATGCATAAAAACCTTCATAACACACAAGGGGACGGGTAATAACCGGAAAAGCATGACATGGGACCTTTAAGACCCCGCGGGAACCCTGCAAACACTCTCCCTCACACTCATCTTCTCTTTGTTATTCTGATAAATATTCAACCATTAGCAAAAATGGAAAAATTCATAATAACATTGTATTTGTTCGAATTCAGAAAATCATAAACACAAACAGATCAATATGAACTGCAGTCAGTGAACTGACCTGAGAGCCTCCAGTCTGCAGTTTGGACTCTTTAGTCCAGAACTCAGCAGCTCTGCTCCTGAATCCTGCAGAGCGTTCTCTCTCAGGTCCAGATCGCTCAGATGGGAGGGGTCCGACTTCAGAGCTGAGGCCACGACTTCACAGTGAGTCTCTGAGAGTCCACAGAGAGTGAGTCTATAATAAAACATATATTACAACATGTGTTAAAAAAAGAGGAAACATAATGACCTCAAGCATTTGATGACATGTTCTGATACACATTTAATTTAATAATATATGATAATAGAGTGTAATGAGTTGTCAGTGTGATCTGATCACATGTCTGTGCTCCTGCTGTCACTGACTGTTACCAAAGAAACAGAAATTAAATAAATCACTTAACAATAATAGAGATGAACATATTTAAATGTTAATTAATATGTGGATGTGAATGATGGATGAAGGATGTTTTGGCTTCTCTGAGCATCTGAACATTTATTGCGCACACAAACACAATTAACAAACCAATAAAGTTTCAATATGTTCAACTTGATAGCATCAGATGTTCCCAGTATATCAGCATTAAGATATAACTCTGTTATTGGTGGGAAATGATATAGATCTGATTTTAAACTCTAACACATTGTGATCAAAACGTGTTTAATGATAAAGAAACTACTAGAAAGTAATAATAACAGCTTTCTCTGATAATTGTAAATCCTGCTGTGTGGAAGTCCTTCATGTGTTTGACATGTCGCCTCCATCACTCAATATGAAGAGAGGAACGGAACAATTAGTAGGGACGGGAATGATTAATCGAATATTGGAAATGATTCAGGTGTTCAAATATGAGTTATGAATATTTTTATTGTAATCTTTTTTTTTTTTATGTATACGACAGTTCCATTTAAAATATCTTAAGAAAAATATCAAAAATAAAACATGTGTAACTTTACCAAGGCTCAGCAAATAGGACGATGCTCTGACGCCATCACCCTCACACATTTGTTATATGTTTACCGGATATAGTTTTTCTGCTTAGTGAACATGTGTCTCTGCTCTGATCAGGTGCTGCGGCTCCTCTGTGCAGTGTGTGTGTGTGTGTGTGTGTGTGTGTGTGTGTGTGTGTGTGTGTGTGTGTGTGTGTGTGTGTGTGTGTGTGTGTGTGTGTGTGTGCGGGTGTGTGTGTGTGTGTGTGTGTGTGTGTGTGTGTGTGTGTGTGTGTGTGTGTGTGTGTGTGTGTGTGTGTGTGTGTGTGTGTGTGTGTGTGTCTGCCAGAACCACCCGACCCATCCTGTAACACGGAGCCCATTTCTTAAGTGGACCTATCATGCTATATTTGAATAATATAGTGTAGGACCATACCTATATAAGGCATATTTATACTTTTTTTTTTTCAAAATACCAAACAGATCATGCATTTTAGCCATGCCTCATTTTGCTCAATTTGAAAAATGTTAGCTCTGTTTTAGCAAGGGCTGATTCTGTGAGAACAGCACCACCTACAGGCCTGGCATATGTACTACAGCGTCTCCAGCGCTTTCGAACGGCAATGGCCGTGGATGTCTCCTCCTGATTGGTGGAGTTGGCCCAATAGCCGTAGCGCCACTGTCCTGACGTCTATTTTTAACCGTCAGAGCCAATGGAATCGAGGGAAAGTTCCACATACACACACAGGTTACCAAATAAGGAGTGAGAGTGACACGTAGAAAAACTGGAAGCTGCGCTAACCTCTGGTGGCTACCATTAGCAGCTCATTTTTATTCTCCGATTTTTGCATACAAATTGAATTATGGATTATCAATAATTTTTTCAAAGTGACACACATTGCTATAACCTATGGATTAACCTTCAGCCGCGTTTTTTATCGTTTTAATGCCATTGAACACGACTTTTGATCAGAATAACAGCTAAGGTGAGCATATCTCCGTGTTTTTCTACCTAAAGCTACTCGTGTGTTGTCTGTATTTGCTTCCCCTGTCACGAGTTCTGATCGCTCAGTGATGATCCTAATATTTCTATAATCTGTGGACTCTTAGGATGTTATCTAAGCTTGTTTGTGCAGATCCAATAAGTATATTGATCGGTATAGCTAGAGTTCTGTGCTAACGGCCTTAAGATTCTTTCGCTCGTGGCTAATTCAGAGGCTCAGCGTTAGCTTTGTGGTTTAAAAAAAAAAAAAAGAAAAAAGATCAGTTAGCTGAGTTTCTTCCCGTTACATGGATATAAAACATTCATAGTTTATTAAATATGAAGAAGCCCTCAGACGCTGTTTCCTGCAGATGATGCGTTTTTCCGCCCGGGGGCGGGTCGATGGGGTTCAACAGGTTAAGAAGCCCTGAGACGCTGTTTCTTGCAACATCTTTTTAAACATTTCAAAAGAAAAATGTTTTATAGGATAATCGGTCAACTGTTTTTTTTGGGGTTGAATATTCGAATATACATTTGCTTTCAAATTTCCATCCCTAGTATGAAGAGAGAAACGGTTCAATTGAACTATTATTATAAATAAATAGAAGAACACTTCTGATCCATATTA